GGAGACAGAGGGGGGTGAGTTTCGTTGTGCACCAAACCTGAAAAGCAGGATGAGTGGGATGAAAATCACGATTTACATAAATGAATATTTATGACACATTTGCCTCTGTGTGTAAGGTTCATCTTTCCTGACCAAGGTCTTGGTGTCTCCCCGTATTTAAAAACAGACAGAAAGAGTTTACGCTGGAAAACAATTCCGTGTTCCCTAGATTGGTCACACCACCGCTGAGAGGGGGCGCCCAGCTGCCAGCCTGGGGGACTCCGTCTTGCTTTGGGGTGTGGGATTGCTTAAAATTGCGGCAGGGGCGGGGGAGGGATCAAATTCATTTTTAGACGGTGTGACTCTTACGCGTCTCTCAAAGACAGAAACTTCCAGGTGTCCCATAAAGCCCTGGCGTGGCCGTGGTCCCCGTCGGGAGCCCAGTGACCTCAGTCCCTCTCTGAGAGGCAGGCCACCTTCACGCGCTTCATCTGTGGGGGGAGGCGGAGCCGGGGGTCCCAGCCATACTCGGGCGAGAGCAGCATGCTGGGCTTGTGCAGGAAGAAGTACTTGTTGAGATGCCTCTCAAACGTGCTCCGCAGGCGGCGACTGCTGTCACGGGCGGCGCTCTGCAGATAGTGGCTGGCAAACTGCAGAAGCTCCTGCGGTGTCCCCCCCATAACAGAGCTGCTGTAATAGAAGTCCCCCTCCCCAGACGGAATGCAGGCCGCTGACCCAGGCCTCCTCTCGTAGGGTGGGGTCTCTGTGCTCCTAAAGTACCACCACGCGTGCAGCTGAGCCACCGAGCGGCCCAGCGCCTCCGCCCCAAAGTCCCCCTGGAAGACCTGGTTGACGGCCATGCTGAAGAGGAAGTCCACCTCCTTCTGCACATGGCTCTGGATTCGACTCCACAGGGTCTGCATGCGCACCAGGTGGAGGTCGTGTGACCAGGCCTTGTCCTCGCTGTCGATTTTAAAAATCCGGAAGGTTCGCTGAGGACCAAAGTTGATGTCTGGGAGCCGGAACAAGTCATCCACGGTGATGTAGAAGATCACCTTGTGGCCCACCATGAAGTGCTTGTCAGCAGACTCCAGAAACCGTTTCAGGTACTTGTCTAAAAACCTGCAGCGCGCACACATGGGGGAGGGGCCGGGTTAAGCCAGAGGCACCGTCAGAGACCCCTCATCTGTGTCTAGTGGTGGGGCACACGTGTGTGCTCAGAACAGCGGGGCCTACTTTGGCCTGTAACCTTTGTTCGTTTGAAGCTAGCTCG